GAGAATGAAAATTTACTGATTTGAGAATTTTGAAGAGAGTTTATCGATGCAGTTTGCGTCGTTTCACAATATAGAAGCTTGGTCTGCTGTTCGAGTTTTGACCTGGTGTTTGCCTTATCGTTTGAAGCAAGAGAGTAGACGTATTGAAGTTTTCTATACTATCAAATTTTCTATACTATCTAACATTTTGCATTGTTTTGTGGATCTTATTTCTATTTTAAAATAGCTAAACCTAAGTTTGTTAAGAGGTCTTGTTCGGGACTATTGGTCGCACCAGATGAGTTTATGTCCGGGGTGGCTCACTCATAGAGTATTTTCAGATAAGGTACACCGTCCGTTCGTCGCGCTATCTTTTTTTCGGCCTGATAGATTCGTGCAACTTCTTAGTCTAATACTAATCTTAATCATACTCTTATATCTCCTAGTCACAATAGATCCAGTGTAAACTGGATTTTGCGACTTAGTTGTTAGGAACTGTCTTGAAGGAGAATGACTGTAATCTAAGTTATATTTATTTTCTTCTGTTGCTAAAATTATGAATAGTTTCAGCGTTACAAATAATTGTATGTGTTAGTTTTGGATCAAGAATGGTTAGTTAGAAATATTTTATAGAGATAGTTTTATCAAAAATATAATTGGAGACAAGTACTAGTTTCAAACAGGCTCCAGAAGTGCGCGCCAAAAAATTGTAATTTGTTTGTTCAAAATTTTCCAAAAATTGCCTAAAAACGCCTTCTTTGGCCTGTTTTTTCAAAACTTGGTCAGAAGTAATTTTGGTCCACGGCTCAGAAATTTTGGTCATAAGGGGTCTTCAGAGTGATTTAAGAGAGCTCAGAAATCAATTTGATTGACCAAAAAAGCCGACAAAACTTTCTAAACTTTTTGAAAATCCGCCCCCCCTCCACCTCTAGAAAATCTTAGATCCACCCCTGGAGGTGGAGGGGGGAGGGGTGGATCTAAGATTTTCTAGAAGTGGAGGGGGGCGCGGATTTTCAAAAAGTGGAAGGGTGGGGAGCGGAATTTTGTCAATCTTTTTTTTAGCTTGATCAAATTGATTTTCCGAGCTCTCTCAAAGCACTAAAAAGAGTGGTACAGTTTTTCAAAACTGTCACAACTCGAAAACTATTATTTTTTACCGTTTTTTAATAGCAAATTAAGACCAAATTTTTTCAAGGATTTTTCTGTCGAAGACATTTTTCAAAGCTGCATCTAGATAATCAGCATGAACAAAAGCGTGTCGAAGGAGCGGGATTTTCTTGAAATATGTTTTTCTTGAAGTTTTACAAAAAGATCTACACTTTTTCAAATTTTATAGCTTTCCCTTTTGATGGCCAGCAATAAAAATACTTTAGAAGAACATCAGAAATCACGTGTTGGCGAAAATATTTTTTCAAAAACAAAAATATTGAACTGGGTAGTAAACAAGAGAGTGTTAAAACACATTTCAAATTGTGTCTCATCCTTATCAACGAACTTCGGATTTTTGAATTATTTTGACCTGTTCCTGTTTTTTTTCGAAATTTTTCCGTCGGCGCAGAAAATTTGGCCTAAAATTTTTGAAACTTTAATATTTTTGAGAATCCGCCCCCACCCCTCGAGAAAATCCTACATCCGGCCCTGCTTTGAACAAAACTACTGTTACGCTATTTATCAGAAAACTCAACAATTTTGTGTTTTTGAAGCATCTGATTTGAGGGATTTTTTTGTTTTCTCCAGTAAGCGACGTTTTTTGAAATAATTCTTTGCTGACTTCAAATCATCATCATGTGAATCACCTCATAAAGTTTGTGAATTTCAAAACTTTTGCTATGACTTTGCAGTAGTTAGAACATAGTTGAAAGATGCGCGAGGGAAAAAGAGCCCACCCTGAGGGCACGAAGTACCCGATGGCGGCTCTTATGCCTGAGGCCATCTTAAACTATGTTCTAACTGTTAAAGAGTATGTTTTTGCTCTTTCTGAGGGAAAGATGGCGGAAAATTGTGAAAGAGCCCGGAAAACTGTAAAAGAGCTCGAAAAAGTGCGCGAACCTATGCAAGTGTTTCTTTTTTCATTCATGTGTTCTAATATCTCATTTTTCATTGATGCCTTGTCGTGAAAGAACATGTGTGAAAGAGCAAAAACTTACTTTTCGAAAGTTATCTATTTGTTTGTATGATCAATTGTCTCTCGTTTTTTTTCGGTGACCTTTTTGCCCATTTAATTAAGTTGCGCGGTTGTATTGGTTTGTATAATAAAAAGCTGGTTTCCTCTTTTTTCTTTCTTTTTTTGGATGATCGAATTGTTTGATTTCATATAGTTATTTGATTGGAAAAAAAAACGTTTTTCCGATCTTCTAACTACCATATCAAGATCACATCATAGTTTCTCGAGGATGTTAGAAAAAACTATACGATAATTCTCTTGCTTCAATTTTGTTTCTTCGACTAGAAAAGATTGTTTATGTACACTTAGCTTCTTTTTTGTATTTTTTACCCTGAAATCTTTTCTATTTAAATTAAATAGCAATCAATAGCAATCACTAACTACAATATATTTTCATAATTTAAACTAAGTTTAACATTGCTTTGCCCTAATGTTTTTCCGGAAAAACAAAAAATGGGTTTAACCTAAAAGAAAACACTGTTCTTTGGCTGTTAATTTTTTGATTGTTTCTAATTCATTTCTTTAATTTCAAATACAAACAAACTTACGCCAAACGTTTACCATGTCCTGAAGACTTTTTATTGCTCTCATGCTTTGCGGCATTCACGCAATTTTGGGTAGTCTCATCCTCCATTTTGTCTATATCCACAACATAACTGAATCTCACATGTTGAAATCTACTAGCACTCATAGTTTGTTTCATAAAGAAATAGAAGCAAACAGTTAACCCAAGTTATATCAAAATGTTCAGATTAATTCAATTTTTTATCTTTGACTAACTGGCTTTTTTCACGCCTGGAGAACATCGTGATCAGAGACTGGCCTCCAAGCTTAATTCATACATTTCAATCAACTAGTTTTACATCACTTGTGGTGTTAAATCAAACTAAGAAACATAATGACCCACAAACATTTCTTTTGACAAATTTCTTCTGGATTTTGTCTTTGCTTTTGGCTCAGAAGGCGTCTATTTACGTTTTCGTGGCTTGCTTACTGGTCAGTCGTCAAAAGTTGAAGATTATCTAACACTGGTAGCTGTGTTTCTGGACTCACTTTTTGATATTAATTGAATTTTCTTCAGTTTTTTTATCCTTGCTGTTTCAGTCTTATTTTCTAATTCATAGCTTGCAAGGTTACCCTTGCATTGTATCGAACGGTTGCATAGCTCCGCTCTGCATGTGTGTTTGTTTTAACGGGGAGCGGTGGTGAGTGGTTACGTCTCCTCCTCTCAATCGAAAGGTCGGATCTTCGAGGCCGAACATGATCCGTGCTTGTTGCTTGAGGGCGAGGCAACATTATCCAGCCCAGAAAAAGAACCTAGATGCATGTAGATCTTAAATAGGGGCACAACAGCGGTTCACCGTAAAGAATAGAAATCCTAGTACCTTGTGCATTAACCGTCTCAACTAAATTGCATTCTTGCGAACTTTCTTATTTCGAATGCAAGTAGTTTATGCTTACAATAAATTATAAAATTTGGCTTGAAGCATAAATTTAAAATTATGTCTTGAAAACAAGAAGAGTTTTGGCGTCGATTGTACGAAACATTGTTTGAGTTTGAAAACAATTTTTTAGAAAACATTTTTGTAAAGTGAACAATTACTCTGACTTTATTGAACGTACAATTATCATATTGATGTGACGATACAACGACATCGATTATTTACGTATAAATCAGGATAAAGCTGAGTTAAAACAAAACTGTTTTTCAACAAGTCGATAAATTTCGACACCAGCAATGATTTTTGTTCAGTTTTACTCTTGGGGCCTTTTCATAACCAACTGAAAACTAAGATTAAACGTATGAGTGAATTTTAATTTGTGATTCGTCTGTTCTTCCAGACAAGTATCGTTACAACTTTGATTACTACAGATGAAACCTTTGTACAAAAAATGTACAAATAAAACAACTTTTTTGTATCGTGCCAAAAATGTTCAAAGAAAACATTTTTTGTATCGTGTCAAAAACCATTTTAAAAGCCAGACGATATGACATTTTCAAGCGCGAATGTTTCGACCAAGACCCACAATTAACATTAAAATTTAAAAATAATTGATGAATTGAAAAGATTTGGAAGGCAGGCATGCTCGTTTTGCAATGTTGAGCGTTGTGCAACAGACCGTTATAATTTTATTTAGGTATGAGTGCTAGATCATTTTTCAAGCAAGAAAAAATTGACCTTTTTATTAATTATATTTTGGGCTAGCCACTCGCGTTTTACAAAATCTTCTTTTTTGAACGTTTTCAACTCAATCACGATTGAAAAGTTTCCAATTGCTTCTTCGAAAGTTTTCAACTCAATCACGACTGAAAAGTTTCAAAATGGTGTTGTGCACGCATCTGAATTTTGCCTTGGGATTCTGGATTTTGATCAAGAAACACTCGAGTTTATAGTTTCCCCAGTTCTTTGTGGTCGCAGTAAGCTGACGTTTTTGAAGGTATTTATAATCGGAAGAGTTTGTGCAAGTTATAAAGCTAGCGAACACGATTTCTTGTTTTTGCTTTTTGTTTAAAGTTTAACCAATTGAACTTCTATCTGTTTTCTGTTTCACATCTATGCATTGTTATCATTTGCATCCCCCACCCCCTTTGAGTCTGTTTCTGAGCGACAAACCGTAACTGTTTTCCGAGGTCCATTTGGTTTCAAAAATGCTCAAAACGTAGTCTTATTCTAAGAATATTGTCTGCATTGAAGAAACTTATGCCAATTATTGTATTTTTGTGCTTTTGAAAGTTTCGAAATAGCTTACCTAAAAAAAGTCTCAACATTTTTTTTCCAAAAAAAAAAACAAAAAACAACCACCACCACCACCCCGTCCGAAAATTCGAGCGCAGGTCACAAAATGTTGTGCATAGGTGCTTACATCAATGTGTTTGTGGTGGCCCGTAAGACCCTAGCAGGACATCAGTACTCTCGCACGGGCGGCACCCTCCAGTTGGACCAGGGCGCCAACTGCCGATCAAACGGGAAGGAACAAAAGGTAAGCATTCAAACTGAGAAAGGGGAAGAGCTTCATGACAGAACAGATAGCACCCCCCAAAAACAGCACAAAAATTTCATATGATCCAAATTTATTCAAGGCTTAGAATATGAAAGCACTTTTCAAGTCAATTTAACTCAATTTACGTTTAAACATGTTTTCCATAATTGAAGACAGTATTTGACTGACTTGTCAGAGGTCAGAGACTGAAAAAAAAACAGATGAAAAAAAAATCGTAAAAAGTTTTTGATTCATTTATTTTCCAATTTATACCAAGTTTTAATTTAGTTAAACTTTCGAATGAAAAATGAGTTGAAAAATTGAATAGAATTCGAATTTTGCCTGAAAGACTAGTAAGGCTTTTTATTATGATTGTGCTCTATATATAAATATAATGCAACTATTCAGCAAGAAGCCAAGAAAAAATTGAAACTTTTGTCTTGGCTTAATAGACGCACTATAACCATAACATGGCAAAATACGAGATTGCAATCTATTATAATTGATTTTAAGAGATTTTCTTCAAAAAAATAATGAAATCTAAACGATTATAATGTTATTATAATGGATTATAAATCGTTTTAATATCTAAGTTTGGCATTTAAAATTTATTATAATATTTATTACAAAAGGGCTATTATAATTGTAATTAAGTTGATTAAATTAATGTTTATTTTCTTGATTATTTTTACTGAGTGCGCATTTTTCAGGTCAAACTGAGCCGAGAATCGCTTGGCAGCTCACACGCAATTTGCACGTCAACTATAGACGCGGACGATCTTCAGTACAATCAGGAAGATTCACACGACAAAGACCTCACAATTAAGCCGAACGAACCCGAGAGTTGCCGCATTTCCGACGCAAGTTGTCGCGATAAAGGTCGGAAGGTAGTTTTGGGTGGGGGCTCAAAAGCGAAGATCGAGCAGAAGAAGAAACGAAATAAAGACGAAGAAGGTTTACAAAACAGCGAAAAAGATCATGAAAGTGATAGTGAATCTTCTTCAGACAAGCAGGTGAGTTTTTGGCGTTGAAGTTAAGCTTTTGGAACAATCCCCACCCTTCCTAATAAGTCTTGTATCTATAAAACTCATTTAATACCCAATTTTCTTTATTAATTGTATTAGTTGTTTTGTTTTATTAATTGTATTAGTTTTTTTCAAATTATCAAATTATTGTAGTTTTTTCTGCGCGATGTGATAAAAGGATTTGACCTAAATGTATAATTTAGGCATATTCGACAGTTATAGTAACTTAAGCAAACAAGACAACAGTTTTTGAAGAAAAATAACTAGAAAAACAAACAAATCAAAAGAAAAAATTCGTTTTAAATTTTTTTGCAGAAGTTTTTTGAATTTTCGAAGCTTTTGATTCCCCGAATGGCATCAAAAATCTCCAAAAACTAATTTTACTTGAGTAAAATTAAAAATAAGCATAAACAAGCTATTGTAAACGGCTGAAATTAAGCATAAAAAAGCATGCTCACTCGCTTTACTTGCTCGAACTTAGACGAAAAATCAAAAATTTCAAACCAGTTTTTCTCGACTCTGGAAAAACTCAAAAAGAAAAAGAAAAAACTAAGAACACTGTCTTTGCTTGGTTGTCTGCAAAATGTGAGGATAGTTCGTTTGTGTTTGAGGTCTTTGGGTTCTGCAAAAACGGTTCAAAAATTCCACAAAAAGCGCAGGCGAGAGCCAAATAATCAGTTAGGAGGCCTACTGGTTTAGACTTAAGTCCCTACAGTTCTATAGCTATGAAAATAGCTAGTAGTTCTGACTTTCGAAAAAAGTGACCAAAAATTTGTACTCCGGGTGGGTCTTTTTCTCCATACACATCTTGACTTTGTAACTGCCCCCTTTTGACAAAATTTTTTATATAATTCGAAAGATATTGTTATCCTGAGCTCCAATTTAAAAAGATGTTTCACTTATGTTCATTTTTTGGAAAGTAAAGGGGTTTGAAGATTATGGGGGTTTAAAGTTCAAACCATCATAGAAACTGTTCCAGTTTGAAGTGAGGCACACTATTTGGTCAATTAAAAATATTTAAAAATTTGCCAAAATGCAAAAAATATTTCACCTAAGCTGTACAAAAAGGTTGGGGTGATGATTTCAAAAAATTTAAAATTTAAAAACAAGACTACAAGATAGACCTTAAAACGCAGTCTTCGTCCTGTTACGAGCAGTGTTGTATGAGTTTTATTTTAGCCAAATTCATCTAAGATAGCTTACTATGTCTTTTGTTGCTGCAGAAACAGAACGATTATTATGAGACAAAAAACTATCAGCTCTGAAACTGGGGAAAAATCACATTTTTCGCCGGCTACTTATCTCAGTACAAGTTACATTCACACTTAAAAACAGAAGCAATAACGCTGCTAATTTTTTTGTGGTAAAATGATTGCGTTTGCTTAATTATTTACTTGGCGACAAAATTTCCTGTTAAAAAGCGCTCAAAAAATATATATATTTTTGGAAAAATACAAAAAATGAGTGCGTTTTCAAGAACGTTTTCAAAAACTTTTGCATTATGCAAAATTTTCAATTATTTTAAATGCTTACTGTTCCGACTTTTGAAGAAAAAATGGAACAATTATGTTTGGTAAGGTTTTTTCATAAAATAAATTGTCAAATTTTCAACAAAACTTTTTTGAAAACATTTTTCACTATCCGAATTTTTCACCAATACAAGTGCAACTTGTATTAAGAAGTATGCGACAAAAAACTTTGAAGTGAGAGACAAGCAATGGCTCTTTTTAAGGCGCTACGGCGCGCCAAAGACATCATACTTACTTTAAATAGCTTGTAGGGGGATGTAATCAAGAACTTGTTTAAGCAACAAATTCAAACTACAATTTTTTTGAATACTTCAAAACAAACTATTCAGCAAAAAACAATTATAATTGAGAATACAGTGTAGACGGAATTCTAAGGGCTTTGCCCCGATATACGAGCAGTCTTCTTTGTTTCCTATTAGTGGTTGTAACAGTTTCAATTCAATACTGCTCCTGCTAGTTTAGCATTGAACTTATTATTTTTCGAAAATTAAAAAAAAACTTATTTTATTTTTTATAACTTTTTTAAATGTATTTTTATAACCTTAATTGAACCAATTGTTATTGAATATTTGACATTGTCAATCAGATCAATTGCTGGCCGACACGCAGAAAAATATTTACAAATTCGTTCGAGTTTTTTAACCCAGGATGAACAAAAAGAAAATCCTGTGAAACTATGTTCAAATAAAGAACAACAGTTTTATCAAGATGACGCTCTGAATGTTCCGACTGCGTTTTAGTTTCTATAGAAAAGTGTTCAATTTTTACAAAAACGATGGAAATTTGAAGAAAAAAATTACTTGAAAAACTAAAATTATTTAAATAGATTTTTTAAAAATCATCTCGCTTCACGCTATTTAAAATAAACAAGAAAGAAACGTAAAAATTAGAATAAATGATACGCCTAAATTCAATTTGGGATTAATCTTAAGCACCTTAATTGCCGCTTACGAGTTAATAAAACGAAATAAATTATCAAGCGTTAATTATCCCAAGCTGGCCAAATTGGCAATCTTTACGCCCCCATAACCTAACGAAAAATGTTTACAGATAAATTAACTTTTTACTTTTCAGCTCAGGGCACCAATACTTTTCAAATGGTATTTAAAAAAATTTCAGCCAAAATGGCAAGTTGCAAAGTCGAAATTGTTCTGGAGAAAAATCACCAGAGCGCAACTATTCCGCCATTTTTGTCGTCAAAAATAATGAATAAAAGTGCTCTGATTGATAGAATAATTTAAATTTTTTCATTTTTAGAAATTGAATATACGAGAAAAAGTGTTGGGCTCTTTTCCAGTCCCCCCTTTCAAATTCAATTTTGAAAGCTTATTTAACGTTATCATAAAGCAATGATTTTTGGCGTGGTGAACAATTAAATCGATAACTGTGAACAACAGATTTGTTTTTCATACTTTACAGCGTAACATCACGCACTTAGCCGTAATAATACGTAAAACAAACATAAACTCGGTACTTTGAAAGGGGGAAAACTGGAAAAAAGCCAAGTGTTTATCTGCAAAAAAATTAGGGTGCATGAAGACATATATTTTTGACCATCTAACATAATTAGATTTTTTGCGCAATTTTTGGAGCGGAACTTCTTTGTTGGGCACGTGTTCTCAGAACATAACTTAAGAGATAAAAGAATTGTGAGATAGAAGTAGAGTTTTTGTCTTTTTGACATGTAGAAATTCCTTTTTCTATGAATTGTTCCCTGTATTTTCAAAATTCTTAATTTCTTGGGGCCAGTTGCGTATGCGATACCCGGGCGTATCCTGTTAACATTTTGTAGGTAGTACCCCTGTTACACTTGGAAAATCTTCAGTTTTTCCCAGCTTAATGTGTTTATCAAAACAGTTTTTTTTTCTCAAAAACATGTTTTTGTTTATTTTCTAAGTTTATTGGTCAGTTTATTTTTTGGTCAGTTTTTGTTGGTCAGCTTATTTATTGGTCAATTTTTGTTGGTCAGTTTATTTCCGATGTGTTCCAGATTTTATTGTTGTTTTTTGAAAGCGTTCTCAATTTTTAGAAAATTCGCTTTTTCCAAAAGCTTCAATTTCGCAACTTTTGATCCACGCAACTTGCATACTGTCAAATATACTTACAAGAAACAGCTTCTTCCACATTGGAACCAACTCTGCACTGAGAGCATATCTGGTCATATTTTTTCTTATTTACAATTAAGGACAAATAATTGTGGTTAAATATGTGTTTGTTTTTGGAGCGAGCATTTTAAAATTTCTAAGGTTTTCCTTCAAAAATAGTTTAATTGGTTACCCGAAACTTCCTCGAAATAAAAAATGGCGATTTTTGGCGTTAAGCTGAATAATGTTATTAAGAATATCTTAGCAATTCGTGACAAGTGCGCTACAGAAAACAAGTTGAATAAAGAGGAGTTGAAGACACCTTCAGAACAGTTTCAAAGTCTCGGGGGAGGGGAAGGGGAAGGGGAGGGGAATTCGTCCACCGATCTAGGGAGTATTCAGTGGACAAATTACCTTCCCCTCCCCTTCTTCAAAAATTTTGCAATCTCGCCACTTTCACCCTTTCAGTTTCACCCTTTAGTACTATTTTAGGAAGGCCATTTTGCGATTTAGTCACTTTTTAGGAATATGTTTTGACTTGAATATGTTTTCAGGACGTTGTTGCCAAATCAGAACACCTGAGACGGATGAAGCGGGACCGAAATGTGCGGAAGCAGTGGCAGATCGCAATCACCCTTTTCCTCGTAACATTCGTGTTCATTCTATGCTACGCGCCCAGCGCTATTGTTGACTTGGGCTCGTGGCATGAAAAAATAGAGATGCCCAATTTCGGAATGAGGATAGAAGAAGTTCTGTTCTCGCTTCTCTGGTACAGTGTGCCCGCCAACCCCATCATATACGGGTTCACTTCGCCCCGATTCAGAAAAGAAACGCGCATGTTGATGAACAGGGCCAAGCTGTTCTCTTTCAACACTCAACATGCAATTTAGTTTTTTTATTATGGCTGGTTGATGTTATTCAAAAATCGTTCTTTATATATCCTAAGACAGCTTCGAAGCTTTCCAAAACTATCCTCTGCATTAGCAGAAACCGAAATTTCTGAAAATATTTATAGAACTTTGGAAATGCCTCGAAAAATAAGCACGCACACTTTCATGTTCTTTCTATATTTGTCAAAGATAATTAAATTGTCAGAAATTATTGTTGAAATAGTTAAAAAGTAGATATTTTGGAGTGAAATTTCATAGTTGTATTTGTTATTTCTTTCGAAGCCGCTAATCGATTCCTTTTTGGCGTCAGCTCTCCACTCAAAGTGCGTCTATTCCACATTCCCGCCCCCTTCCAAATAGGGCAAGGATGCATAAATCAATTTTCTTTTTAATATTTTCGTGATTTATCATGTAAAAATATCATGATGATATCTAATTTGAAGCTACCATTTTAATTTTGAAACTCTATGATCATTCCAATTTATGTTTTTAACATTAGCCCTTCTAAATTTTTGAGTTGAAATTAATCGGCTCAATTCGAGGCTTTCCACCCGTGGAATATTTTGTAGCGCTACAATTCCTCGCAACAATTCATAGCACCTGCTGTGAAATTTCAGGTTTTTTTGCTGGTCTTGTTCAATGTCAATTTGATGTCCTATGAACTGCGTAAAGATTTTTTTCTGTCGTAAGACTGAATTCAAATTACGAACTAAATTTTTCTATGAGTCAGGATAAGTCTAGAAACAATATCGATATCACCGCACACTGAGTTTATGTCATGCACTAGTGATGACCTTGGCCTTGGCTGGCATTACAACATATCAAAAATACATAGAGTGCCTGATTCACTGGCAACTGCAGCGCAGTCTAGAAAAATAATAATAATCATAATAACAATCATAATAATCATAATAATAGTAGGGCAGCAAATCAGCCATAATAACTTGTGAACGACTTCGTCTTAAACAACATTTTTTAAAATTTCGTACAAATTCTTATTTTAATTCGCAGCCTTGCGCAATAGACTTTTGCAAATTAAAATAAAACAAAATTCTGAGCCATTTTGTAATGTAGATTGGGCTAGGATTAGGCTTTTCGGGCAAAAACTCAATTGAGCACACAAAAATTTAAAAATCATAACTCATAAAATCATAAGCCCCACAGATTAGAAAGTAATTATCTTGCTTTGCGATTTTGTTGGCAGTGTCGACTTTTTTTAAATATATAAAACAAGAAAAAAATGACATTAAAAAAAAATAAAGAACATCTGATTGTTACGATTTTTGTAACGAAAGTAACGAAATGTTTGTGCTCGGGGTGTGTTTTTTTTTCTTCAGACAAATTTCGTCTTTTTAACTAGCAATTTTTGACGGATTTTTTTTACATCGTTCGAAAGGTATTGTTGTCCTGAACTCAAATTTGAAAAGATGTTTCACGTGCGATTATCATTTTTTAAAGTGATGAGGGTTTATAGATTGCCATTTTGGTCAAATTGGGACAATTAACGCGCGATAGATTCCGCACTATTTTTGCGAAAGCGAGGATTTAATCCGTCTTAGAAATTGTTCCAAATTGGTTAAAAGAAGCTTATTTGTCGTAATTGGTTTGTTAAAAGGAGCGAAATCTATCTTTGTGTACTTTTTAAGGCGTGTGGGGAATGATTTTCACAAAAAATCTCAAATTTTAGAAAAATAAGTTTTCATTTTACTTTATTTCATTTAGTTTCAATGTCAATTTGATGTCCTATGAAGTTCGTAAAGATTTTTTCTGTCTTAAGACTGAATTCAAATTACGAACTAAATTTTTCTATGAGTCAGGATAAGTCTAGAATCAATATCGATATCACCGCTAACTGAGTTTATGTCATCCACTAGTGAAGACCTTGGCATTGGCTGGCATTACAACATATCAATAATACATAGAGCGCCTGATTCACTGGCAGCTGCAGCGCAGTCTAGAAAAATCATAATAATCATAATAACAATCATAATAATTATAATAATAATAACCAGAATTGAATTAAACCCGCAAGGCGGGGATTAGTTGCTTGTAGTCATTGATAACAAAGTTAATAAAATAACCTTAAAAATCAAGACTCTAGATAAATCGAGTATTTAAATATTTGTAGTTTGTCAAACAATAACAGTTCCAAATTCTTTCTAAAGATTACAGGTTCTTGAAAAGGATCATAGCCAAGGCAAATTGTTTGATCTCGTGAGGGTGTTTGACATTAAATAAAACGGGGCAGCTGTAATCAGAGTTATATGACAACGGCGAATATGCCAACTTCTTCGTAAATTCACAAGCAGGGGCCGATCTAGGATTTTCTGAAGGGGGCGGGTTTTCAAAAATTTTCGAACATTTTGTCGACCGTTTTTTTAAGTCGACCAAATTGATTTTCTGAGCTCTTCTAAATCACTAAGAAGACCCTAGATTGGCCAAGTTTTCTAGGCCGCAGGCAATTTTTTTCAAGAAACAGGCGCAAAAGGCGTTTTTAGGCAATTTTTGGAAAATGCTGACCAAAAAATCGCATTTTTTTGGCGCGAGCTCCCACCTTAAAATTAGTATGATTTGGCGCTGAAAGTGCCTTTAGAGAAATTTTAGGGTCAGTCACCAAAAACGGATATCTCAAAAAAAAGCACCTCCCAAAATCTGCTGGTGTTCACAAGACAAAGAATTTGTGGTAGGGCAGCAAATCAGCCAGAATAACTTGTGAACGACTTAGTCTTAAACAACATTTTTTAAACTTTCGTACAAATTCTTATTTTAATTCGCAACATTGCGCAATAGACTTTTGCAAATAAAAATAAAACAAAATGCTGAGCCATTTTGTAATGTAGATTGGTCTAGGATTAGGCTTTTCGGGCAAAAACTTAATTAAGCACACAAAATTTTAAAATTCATAAGCCATAAAATCATAAGCCCCACAGATCAGAAAGTAATTACTTTGCTTTGGGATTTTGTAGGCAGTATCGACTTTTTTTATTATATAAAAGAAGAAAAAAAAATGACATTGCACAAAAAGAACCGCTGATTGTTACGATTTCATTAACGAAAGTAACGGAGTGTTTGAGCTCGGGTGGGTTTTTTTTTCTTCAGACAAATTTCGTCTTTTTAACTAGCAATTTTTGGCGAATTTTTTTTCGATCGTTCGAAAGGTATTGTTGCCCTGAACTCAAATTTGAAATAATGTTTAACCTGCGATCCTTTTTTTGAAAAGTTATGAGGGTTTATAGATTGCCATTTTGGTTAAATTGGGAGAATTAACACGCGATAGATTCCGCACTAATATTGCGTAAGCGGAGATTTAATCCGTCTTAGAAATTGATCCAAATTGGTTAAAAGAAGTTTAATTGTCGTAATTGATTTGTTAAAAGGAGCGAAATTTATCTTTATGCACTTTTTATGGCGTGTGGGGGGATGATTTTCATAAAAAATTTTAAATTTTAGAAAAAAAAGTTTTCATTTTACTTTTTTTCATTTAGTTTTTTTTTGTTATTGCTGCTCCATAGACCTAAAAAAAGGTAGTCGAAACATTCAGGGCTTGGCCCTGATACGAGCAGTCTTGTTAGTTTTGTCCTAAAATCCTACAAGTTAGGAAGAAATTGTTTTGCCAACAAATTAAACTTTGTTGATCTAAGCTTATTTCTAGAACTTGGCACAGAATGATAATAAAGGTGTACTATAAATTTTTCAATGGTTGATTTAAACTCCTAGCATGTTTTTGCGGCTAATCAAAGTTTGTCTTACCATGTGAAAACAAAAAAAGCTATGGCAGCACACTAAACCAATTTATTGCTTTTTAGGTTTGTACCGTTGCTTTTTAGGTTTGTACCGTTTTGCCTTAAAAAACCCAGGTAAGGAGGCAATTATCTTGTCCACAAGCTTAACTTCGAGATGTACCCACTAAATTGATCTCTAAAATTTTACAAAGAGGGATAGAAAAGTTTATCTTTGTGTTTGTGGCACAGAAAATTTGCATAAAAAAGTTTTCAGTGATTGGTTGAGGTTCTTAGCAAGTTTTGTTGGCAGATTTTATTTTGTCATATGATAGGAAAATAAATAATACTTACAAAAACTAAAATAAATTAAGAACTAGTCATAAAACTAAAATGCTGCTTGTTATTTTTGTAATTTGATATAAAGTCATTGCAATCAATTTGACAACAAAATAAAGTTCGAGAAATTCACATAGTCATATTAAAAAACGCGTGTTTGCTTATGGCTCAAAAACTTGTACTTCTAACTTTTCAGTAATGGCTGACACTCTTTGCATAATTTTTTGGCAGATTCAAACTTATCCAATCATTAAAAACAACAAAAAAATGACATCGCACAAAAAAAGATTGCCTATTTTGTTTTTGGATCAAGTTAACATCCTCCCCCTCCCCCAAATAGACCAAGTTAAGATCCCTCACCCCAGCGCTTAATTTAAATTAAATTTGCTGAGCGCTGCATGTAAAATGCTCGATTCTGATTGGCTGAAAAATCCCAACTTAGAACCAAGTTAACACCACCCCCCTCCCCCCTCCCCATTCCCCCCCCTACCCCCCCTCCCCCCTCCCCCCCTATCAATTTGAAATTAGAAGTCAATAACGTTTTCGTGATCTGTTCACTTTTGCTTCAATATTGAAGTTTGCCTTCACTTAACAAAACAGACGAAGTGGGCTGAAAATCACAAGTCAAACCGCGCACATCCCATTTGAGCGTGAATAAGTCTTGTTCCTGCAAATTCAACAATGAAATCAAATCACAAAAACTACAAGTGAAAACCATTGTTGATTTGCACTTGAAAAATCACCTGTAAATAACGCGCACAAAATTTTTCGCGTTCGGTTTTTTGAGTGCAATAGATTTTTCAAGCTGAGTTGGCTTAAATTTTTTCGTTTGTTGTTTGATTTCATCAACAGCATATGCACAAATTATTTTCTGCAAAAAGATTGCTTAGAATCCGCCGCCAAATGGTTAAAAGTCTCTACGATTGATTCGCTTTACTTCAAAAAATGTTCGCGCTGACCACTTTTTAAAAATAGATTCGGGTGTAATGCTGCACTTAGTACGCAAGGACTCAAAAAGTCAGCAAAAAACGAAAATCAACTCAAATAATAACTAAACCACATCCCACAAAGCGAATTACCTGTGTGCGTTACTGCTCTACTTCGTATTTAAAGATGCTGTAATATCAATGCTGTAATACCAAAGATGCTGTAATGCAACGCGGTTTTTGAAATAGTTTTAATATTAGACAAAACAAAACTGATGACAAACCTTGATCATAGAATTTAGCAAAATTATTATGATGCAATATGTTTGGCGAAACCCTC